TCCATGTTGTAATTCGAGGTAATCACCATGTATAATAGGCAACGTGCATGTTAATTCGCCAAGGGCGCTCCCAGTATTTGTTGTGCACATAATAACATTTTGATTTAAAGTAACCACCTATTCATTAAAAGGCCTGGACTGCTGGGGATTGCATTGGAGTTAGGCATGACCATCTCAATCAAATCGATCTTGGACGTTGTCTGGGCCGGTTGGCTTGCGCTTGCTTTATTTCCCTCGTCAAGTTAACGTATAAATAAAAGGCAGCCCGATAATCTTCACACCAGGCCTCTCGGTCTATTGGTTGGGAAATATCCATAGCATGCTTGTGGTCTAAAGTTCCACGTCCCACATAAGCGCTATGTTTTTTATCTTTTCTTCCGCTTCCTCTGGAACGTGAGCCAGCAGCAGACGGTCGAACGAAAACTGGTAAGCCGAATCGTTATTCCAAGACAGACGAAAAATTATATGGGTCCCATCATAGACCAAAAAAAATGAAGAAACAATCCGTCCTTTAATATTAGGTAAAGATAAAGATAAATATGTATTTTTCTTTCCAACTTTTTTTTGGAGGATACAACTTCTGCTCTGCTATGGATCATAATGGAACTCGGCTCCATGTCTCGGAGGCGTATGAGAAAAGATTGAACAGGCGCACATCGATTTCATTATAATAAACCTTGTATATTTGAATATTATTTTTTACAACTCAACGGCTATCATACATTTACATGACGCCCGTTTTCACCTTCGAAATACACTCTTAATTTGATGCCAAATACCCAACATGTAGGGCATGCGTGCTACTTACTACTAGTATTATTAACACTATCAAAAACTTTAACACCTAGACACAAATCTTCCAAGAATCTTTTTCCTTTGCAGCATCCTAGAATCCTTCTTCTGTGCTGTTCCGGCAAACAATGAGGGAGCCTCCATTTGTACACCTGAGCCACAATCGGGCAGGCAAATCCAATCGGCCGTAGAAATTCACAATGGCCATCCATCCGTCCGTCCATCCACCGAGCGAAAACCCAGCTCCCGGATCCTAATAGGCCTGAGCTCTGCTCACCGAGCTCGCCGCGATCAGCCCGTCGGGGAGGACGTTCACGGTCGCCGTGGCCATCTCCCAGGCGTCGAGGCTGGACACCTTGACGGCGCCGGTGCCGTTGTTGAACACATATAGGTGGCTGTTCCCGTTCACGACGTGGTCCGGGTACACCCTCGCCGTGATGCACGTCCTGCCGCCGCCGCCGAAGCTCTCCACCACCGAGTGGTCAACCTGTCCGTCGAAATCACAAGTGTTATACTATGAAACAAAGCAAAAGATTCAGGCTGCGGCGAGCCGGCGCCGATGAACTCACCAGTGTTCTGAGGGAGATGATCCCGCTGTGCGCCTCGATGTCCATGTCCACGAAGGCCCCGTACGGCGGCTTGTACACGCCGTCTCTGGTGCTCGACCTTGACAGGTCGGTGCACATGAGGACCTTGTACTTGTCGTTCTGCCTGAACACCCTGAAGAAGACGGCGGTGTGCTCCTGCATGTCGCCGGAGGCCATGACGAGCAGCCCGAACGGGCCGACGCTGCCCGGCACCGACGCGCCCTTCTCCCCGCACAGGCTCTGCGGGTCCAGCAGCCAGTTGGGCTCCAGGACGTCGGCGTGCTCCAGGGCCGGGATCTCGAACACGACCTCCACGTCCGCCTGCTCGCCCACGATGCCGATGATCTCGTTCACGCCGCCGGCGTTCACCTCCGGTATCAGCAGGTTCACTCGCTTGCTCCTCAGCGTCTCGATCTCCTCGACCGGCCACTGCCGCAGCTGCTTGCCGTCTTCGTCCAGCCATATCTTCCTCGGAACAGTCTGCGGACATCACATCACACGAGCCAATTAATGAGTATGATCAGCCGATCGTAAAAATATTGATGAACTTGTGTGCGCATGGCGGCGGCCGCGCACCTGAACACCGGACCATCCCCTGACGAGGTCGTCGGCCACGCTGTCGGACTCGTTGGCCCAGCCCCAGAGGACGCGCCGGTTCTTGCTCGGGTCGAAGAAGGACTTGGACGCGTACACGTGGCCGTAGTCCAGGCGGCGCCAGCTCCGGCAGTCGTCGTCGTCCTCCGGCACGAAGGTGTCCGCCGTGTCGTCGTAGCTCCCGACCACGTAGTAGTCCTGGACCGTGTCCATGACGCTCATCTTGAGCACGTGCCTCGCCCCGGCGCCGCTCGCCGGGAGCCCAACCTCCACTCCGGGCTCAGACACCGGGAACAGGTCCGGGCACTCCACCATGCCGGCGGCGTGGGCCAAATAAAGCGGGTCAGCGTTGCGCTCCCAGCGCAGGAAGTCCTTGCTCCGGTAGATGAGCGTGGCGCCCCCAACATCATGGACGCGGGCCGCGACGGCGATGCGCCACAGGCCGTCGGCGCCGAGCCACGCCGTGGAGGGGTCACGGAAGTCGTCGCGCTTGATGTCCGCGGGGACGGGGATGACGGGGTTGTACTCGGGCTTCACCCACTCGACAAGGAGCGGGTCGGAGGCGTTCTTGGGGAAGGCGACGTTCTGGACCTGGTCACCGCGGGCGTCGATGCCGGTGTAGAGCATGACGGGGCTGCCGTCGGGGAGGATGGTGGCGGAGCCCGACCAGCAGCCGTTGGCGTCGAACGAGCGGCTGGGCTGGAGCGCCGCGTCCAGGGCGAACCAGTTCACAAGGTCGACGGACACGGAGTGGCCCCACGACAGGTTGCCGTTGCCCCACGTCACGCCGTCGGGGTTGTACTGGTAGAAGAAGTGGTACAGGCCGTTGTGGTACATGGGACCTGCAAAGCACAGCAAATATTTTTACCGCCGTCAGGATAAAATTACAGTGCTCTGTTCCAGAACTGGAGCTACTATTAATTCATCATTCATCTAATAATGTTAATTTCATATCGTGAATGTTTATATCTTTTCCTACAAAGCTAGTCAAACTTTACAAAGTTTGAATTTAACCAATTCTTATATCCGAACTAAAAAGAAACGGAGGGAGTACTAAGCAGCAGGTAAATAATTCCAGATTTTCTGAAAGAAAAAACTACTGCCCCGTCACTGGTCCTCGCCTGACCGTATGAGCAAAATTTGATTCAATTTGTCGACATGTTAGGATGGCCTGTCTTTTTAACTTTAGCAAGAAACTTTGCCATTTTGTCCATCACAAACTGAACACTTGGACGCAACAGACACACCAAAGTGCAGGCCACAGAAGCCTCGGCTTGTTTAGGATAGCTTATCCCTTTTCGTGTTATCTACTATGGTCGGTCTAGAAACTGGCCGGTGTGTGGATAAGTTGAGTGGTGTTCACTGACGGCGATGTTGTGCCAGCCAGGATAACTCCACGTTACCCGGGCACTAAACACCGGCCGGACCGAGCTGCCTTTCGCCGCGGACCACACACGCATCACCTTGTTCCGGATCTCCTCGTCCTATCGTCTACTGTGCATATGGCCTATCGCCTATGGATAAGTTGAGTGTTCACTGACGGCGATGTTCCAACGTAGAAGCAAAAGGTGTTCAGACGGGAAACTAGCAGAATCAAGTACCGATGGAAGTCGCTCAAGACTCTAAACACACCTCCGGAAAAGGAACTACCAGTCTGGTGCAAAAATCAAATTTATTATGCTTTTTCTAGTCAAAATTGCCATGTCTTTTTATCAATTTTTTTTGCCACATCGCCATGTTTTTTCTTTTAATCTTATCTTACTAGACAACCAAAGTTCAAACTTTGGTCAAGACCAGGAGATAGAAATGACAAACTTGCCGACGGTAATGACTAAACGATGCAGGCCGGTGAGGAGGAGGGAGCTTTACGTTACGTGTGGGTGGCTATGCCATGTCATGTCACACAAGCACCGGCCTGTCAAGGATCTCTTCTTCCTTTTCCTGTTATCTACTATGGTCGGTCGGTCTATGGACAAGTTCAACCATCACTGACGGCGATGTTGCTACGACCAGCATAATTCCACGCAGAGACTTGGAAAAACAACGATGAAAGCCTAAACACATCTCCAAGGTACTACTAATCTCGCGGAAAATGTGGCTTGCCCACAAAATTTTTTGTTGATACGTTCTTTCATCTAACTACTAATGGCTTCCAAATCAACTTTTTTGCCGTGCTTTTGTCCTACCAAACGGCTTGCTTGTGTTAGATCATTAAAGTAATGACCTAAAACGTCTTACATTTGTTTAGTTTTTTGTTTGTTTGACAGAACGTGTTTTTCTGGCTGATGACTGAACAACCAAGGCTCAACTCTCTCGACGAATCGGGAGCGGGAGATAGAAACAATATACTTGTCGTGCCCTCCTACCGAACATCAACAAGAAACTTTATACGTACCATTTTGCCCACGTAGGGTAGGTGTGGGGGGCCCTTCGCGTACGTGGCCATGCGAGCAGAGGCGAGCACGCGCACGCGCAAGCGGCAGAAACACTCGGACATGGACACCGTATCCATGCGGGCCACGCACCCACCGCCATGCATGTTCAGACTTCAGAATCTCCCCTTCACACTCCTGCTCACCAATCCATGGATGGATAAGCACGAGCGCTCGTCCGGTGTTCACTGACGGCGACGTTCCGACCGGGACAACTCATTCCAGGTCGTCGTGCCAGTTCACACGGGAATCTATCTACCTAAATTCTTCTTTTTTAACGAAACTATCCGAATTCTGAACATACGTTCCGGTGTATTTTTCCCTTTTTTAGAAAATTATATCACTGGGATCTGCTCAGCGAAGGAGTCCGTGAATGGATTAGCAAGGAGGCAAGGAAGAAAGTAGCTGTGGCGTACCATTGGGATCTGCTCGGCACACAAGCAAGAAGAGAAGCCACCATGAATGGATCCGTCCGAACCAACCGGACACGCGCAGAAAGATTCAGGTTAGCCAACGTCCAAAATCAACGACGGCGGAAACGAGAGAGAGGCGTCAGTTCATGTGTATACCGTTCTGCCAGTTCTTGGCGGGCTGGAAGTGGTAGGCGGACCTGGTCCTGACATGGCCAAGGCCATGGCCGGGCGTGGTCACCGCCGCCGATTTGTCGGAGAGCCAGCGGAGGGAGGCGGAGGAGGAGATGAGGAGGCAGAGGTGGAAGGCGACGGCGCACGCCGCGAGAGAGAGCCGGGCCATGGCCGAATGTTCCTGCGAGCCTGGTGGTAGCTAGCTATACTTGCTATGATGCTCTCCAGCTCGCAAGAACGAATGAATGAGTGGCATCCCGCCTCGGAGCCTCCGAATTTATAGCGCTCCGAGCGTGCCGACGTGGAGAACATGGGCAGGACACTTGGCTTTGGCCCTCCCATCTACTACTCCAGCAGGTTTCTCCTTCTCTTTTCGGACCTTTTGGCGCGGGGACCCGAACCGCCGGTCAATTATTTCCTTGATCGACCGGCCACCGGCCGTCGGCCAGGTGACAAAACAGTCGGGATCAACAGTGGGCGGGTGATGGCGACGGGGATCTACGCCGCCGCGGTGCCACGGCGGACCGTCCTTCCTTCTTATCCACCCAAGGCCGACGTGGCAGATCAGATTAATGCATCGGCCGGTCGGGTCCCGGACTAGAGTAATCATGTTGGTGGCCATCTTTTCTTCCTCTTTTGGCAAACGCGAGAGGCCACCTTGCCCACCGGCACGCCGGCGAGGTGGACTCCGGCCGTCCATGGCCGGCCACAGTGCGGCGATAGCCATGCTGTGGTGCCTGCTCTGCTCTCCGGCTCCCGTAATACTCTGCGCGCCGCCGTTAGTACTAGTATGACGTGTTTTGCGAGACTTGGCTTCGAATTAGTTTCTCTTCACATGAAGAATGTGCATTTCCCTACTACTCTCACTATCCCATAATATAAGAGCATTTTTGACATAGTGTCAAAAACGCTCTTATAGCATGGTACGGGGAAAGTAGTTTTTTTCAGCACAAAAGAAAATTAGTACACATGTTTTCAGAGACTTGGCTTCCATCTAGGGTTTTCTTTTTCTTCTTGGGTGGTTGTGGTCGGTCGCTCTTTTCGTGGAAGGTCACCTGCCGGACGACGAATCAAGATCCAGGTCCGGCGACGGGATCGGGATCCATTTGCCGCCGCTAGGCGATGTGACGCCTTCCTATTATTAAGGCTGAAGCAAAACCCTTTGTTAACCGAAAGGGGTCGCGTCGTCCACGTGTACTCGGGGATGCCTTCTTATCCAACACGGGGGAGCAACGTGGGGCTACAGTGAGCAGATCAGATGAGAATCGTCCAAGAGGCCAGCGGGGACAGCTTCTGGTCTTGCGCACTAGAGCAGTCCTGCTGCGGCCTTTGTGGAAGCCGGTGTCATGGCCCTAGGGCCACTTGCTTCTGCTGTTCCCTCCAAATTATATCAGGATT